TTGCGGAGGGGCCGGCTCAGCGCCGTGTCCTGCCCGCCGAACAGCCCGGGGCTCTCCGGTAACTTTTTCCGTCCGTTGGTGCTGGCAGAGTTGCTGACTCTGCAGCTGCCTATTGCACTTGTGAAAAGGTTCGTGTGTTCATCGCTGCTGGCTGCCTCTGAGCTGGGAGTGAATCCCCCCAGGGACAGGGCTGGGGAATTTTCAGAGCAGTCAATCTGCAGAGGTGTCTGCAATCCCAGCGCCAAGGAATTGGGCTCCGAAGGTTCTCTCCTGACCCACTGCTCATCTCTGCTTAGCAAACCCTTGGAAGGCGACAGGTGAGGACAAGCCATGTGGCATCTGTGTTTCTCTTTGTGTTTGTACCTATCTCCAACAGCCTCCTTGCCAAACCTGTAGCGCTTCAAGGACTCCAGCACCGTTCTGGAGGAGCTGTTGGCCGTGATGGTGTCCATGGAGACCTGGGGCTGCTCGGAGGAGCGGTGCTCCCGGTGCTTGTGGCGGTGCCTGTGCTTGTGCTCCAGCATCCAGCCGTAGGCCATCTCGGGGGGGACGCTGGGGTACGTGCTCATGGACAGCAGGGGCGTCCTGCTCGTGGTGAGGAAAGCTTCCTGGCGCAAGAGTTTATGCTTCTTCTTGTGGTATTTGGTGGGGTTGAGGAGCAGGTGGCCTGTATGCATGTAGGAAGGTGGGGGTAGGGGGGTGGTGAAGGAAGGAGAGGGTGGAGGAGGGTAAAGGGTTGGAGGGTACCTTCCATAATAACCTAATCCTATGGGAGCAGCTGCCAGGGGAGAGGGCGAGTAAGGCATGCCATAGGAGGGGTAGAACCCGGTGCTGGACAGGGGGAAGCTCAGGCTATGCATGAAAGGCATTTCTGCCATAGCTTCCCGCATTTTTGGAGGCCTGCCTCTCTTTTTCTTTAAATCAGGTTTTCTAATGTAGTGCAAAGGATCTAAAGGAAAAGTAGGGTGGGTGTAGAAACTATTGAAATTTATCCTAAAAATGGTAGGCAGCAAATCCCGGGGTATAAAATGATGACTTCTGTGGGTTATCCTAATTTCACTTAATCGACTTATCAACTCCTCTAACTCAGCGAGGAAATCGGGGTCCTGCCTCCCTCGCAGCTGAGGGTACTTCTTTTTCCTTTTTCTCTTCTGCCTCTTCATCTTGTCGTAGCTGAGGTAATCGTGGCTGCGGCGCTTGCACTTGTGCTTGTGCTTCTCCTTCAGGCTGCCGAGCACGGCGGACGTCTCGCTGGGCATGAGGGACACGTGGTCGAACGAGTGCCTCTTCTTCTTCTGCCCGCACAACTTCTCGGCGCGGTCCGAGGTGCTGTTGTTG